TCTCCAACAGCTGGCTCCTCTGTTCTCTGGTTCTGATCCGTGCTGCATATGGATCCAGTGGGCTTTATTTTCCACTTCCTGCAGTTCAACCTAAAGCCAAACAGATTCTCATCGTGACGTCTCCACGGTTTTTCCGAGAAGAGCAGAACTTTACTTATTTAACAGAATCTTGTGGCCTGAAGCTGTTTCTTTTTAAACGTGTAGCTTAAAGTGATGAAATTTGACACCGTGTGGCGCTCTTAGATTTAAAACAACTCGTTGCTGAGCTCCGTCGATTTAAACCCAACTGAACCCTTTAAAGTTTCTGGATCCAGACGGACCTCTGCAGCGTTCATGTGATTTTAAAAAGCGGTGCGATGTCTGAAGCGTGAGCTGTGATACCGACGACATGCTGCACGTCTGTTGTATCCGGAGCTGTGTGGGTCAGTGCTGGTTTGGTTTCACGGCTTCCTGTGTGTGTGTTTCATCTGAAGACGCTTCACATGCTCACACTTTGTCAATCAGTGGTACAGTGAAGCCACAGACGGCTGCTGCTGCTGTCAGAGGTGTTTCAAAGGCTGTTTAACACTGAAGCTCAAACTGTATTTAAACTGGGGGGAAAAAAGCACCTAAAGCTGTCAAAACATGCAACAACCCATCGTCCACGTCTCTACGATTGAAGACTGTTGTTCTTTCTAAACTAGTTTTTTTTTTCTCGAGGCGATTAGAAACGATTAAAGCTGCTGTGAATCCGACAGAGACGAGCTTAATGATCGGTCTGCTCATCCACAGAGCGCCTCATCGGCTCCTGTGTGATTAATAAAGTTATTTAAAGCAAACGTTCACCGGTTGCAGTTTATAAAATGTCTGCTGAGACCGTAAATGGATTATTTCTGATCAAGAAATTCAAATATAACAACTTCAGCTCTTTGATTTTTGACAGTTTGTTCATGTTGATTCCTGGTTTTTTTGTTTTTTTTAATTCTAATTTTTTTTTATTATTATTTCTGGGACAAACAAACATCTGAACCTGATTCTGTAGAAAAATAAACATAAATTAAAACATCCGGAGCTGCAGCCGGTTTGTTTCCGGTTGAACTGCTGACGGGAAAATCAAACTAACTTGATCGATGAAATAAACGCGGCTCAAAGACGACCAAGTTGTTGTTGCACATGTTGGTTTAAGGTTTGTTCAGTTATAATTAATGCGTTAAAACTTTATTGAAGTGCACAAAACATGTTTCTGAATCCTCTCTGGTTCCTGCCACGGTTGTTCTGCTGCAGGACTTTATATAACGCAGTGGAAATGAGACGGGAGCTTCTGAAAACACTTCCTTTAAACTGCAAACAAGTTCGTCTGACTGAACCGAACAAACACACCAGCCGAGCTTTGATCCATTTTGAACCGTTTTATAGTAAAAACATGAAAATCATCTCAGTTTTTGTTGAAGAGCATCAAACGAAACACAATATTTTCTGTTTTTTTTACTCTTTTGCATCACAAACACGACTTCCTTCCCTTGAAATGTGATGAAACGACGTCCCTGCTCCTCCCTCACCTCTCCTGCCTTCATCCAGGTGTCCCAGTCTCACCCTGTGGGCTCACCTGGCCTCGTGCGAGCCAATCAGAGCCCCTCACCTGTCAGGCAGAGGGTTTCCCAGCAGACACTGCTCCTGGGGAAAGGTCTCAAAGGGTCTGGACAAGACCAGGTGCTGCTCAGAGCCCAGATGGTAAAAACACACACACACACACACACACACACACACACACACACACACCTGTATTTGCATAGATTCCCACATGCAAAGACGAGCAGTATCATGATGAGCCCGTTGAACGGACTCCGGTGAGAGGTTCAGGCTGCGCTGATCAGAGAAACGAGAGCTTAACGTCAGTTTCTGCTTTAAAAATATGTTTGTTAAAACCAGAGAAGTCGCTAAATACTGAACACAAAGGGAATGTAGGTAATAGAACTGGGGACTGTTATTTCAATGTGTCTGGAAAAAACCTTGAAATAATCTATAAAACACAAAAATCCGCTTTATTGTGACGCAGGTTTTGGAGCGTCCACGAGTGCTTCACAAAATAGGATTAAAAAGAAAAGTGAATTTAAATGAACAAAATGCTCCGTTATAGTTTAAAAAATAACGTTTTGTAGGTGGAAGGTTGTCATATTTCGCAAAAAACACTCTAATAGTCAGATAGGGATGATTGTTTTTGTCTATACCTGAAAAATATCAAATATGGTCAAACATGTTTTTCCCAAATGACTGAATCGATGCTGCAGTTTCTTTGTAGACAAATTAAAATCATTTAACTGTATATGTTCATATATAACTCACTTATACTTAAAAAACTCAAAGCATAACTGAGAAATATTTGTTTTAATCGTATAAAAAAACTGTAAATTGCAAAACTAAATACGGCACCGAATGTAGATCAATCCGCCGCTGAAAATAGTCCCCAGCAAATACACACTGTCCTCCTAAATGTTTGCTGAAAACTGCAGTAATTAAAGTCCTTTTTTAGAAACTTTAGCTGTAAACTGGAGCTTGATTTTTGGTCTTTTCTTGCTAACAGCGCTTCAGCTCACATTTCTAAACTCTTCAGCTGCACTTTGTTGCCTTTGAATGGGTTTGAGTCGCTGAAAGGAGCTTTTGGGCGGCAGGTTGAAGGAGACGCTTCAGTTTCCAGGTTGTTCTGAGTCAAACCTTCACAGCTCGACCTCCTCCGTTTACTTCCTGCTTCGCTCACCTCGTTCTCTCCTCTGCTCTACCTGCAGCTGATTCTTACGTCTGCTATGCGACCTGCCCACTCCTCCTCTTCCTCCTCTTCCTCCTCCTCCCCCCCCTCCTCTAACCCCGCCTCCGCTCAGGTGAGCCGCCGCCGCTCTTCCTGCCTGCATGCATCACCTCCGTTACCTGCACAGCTTCAACCTTCATTTCATGTGTTTCCTCACAGCAGTCATGTGGTGCTCACTGTTTCCTGGTTTGTAGACGGTGAAGATCAAGACTCTCACGCTGAGCTAGCATCAGTCAGGCGTTATTTTATGGTTTTGTGACGTTACGTTTGCATGACGGTGCCGTTAAAGCGATTGATCGTTGTGTTTCCGGTTTTCTAAATTAATATTTCATCTAACGAGCATCATTTTCATTTTCATGTACGACAACAAACAGCAAATCCTCATGTTTGAACTCAGAGAATCTATGTCTTATATATTCAATATAATTACACAATAGTTTCTTTAAATGAACAATTAATCGACTGTTTCAGTTCTTTTTTGCTTCCGATCAATAACGTAACTTGCAGTTTTAACGGCAACATACTTTAGATGCAACATACTAGGCTTAGCATTACGCTAACGTGGCCACAGTCAGTGAATAATATGCTAACTGTTAAAATTAAGTTGGCGCTATAGGTAGTAAGCTAATCTTACTGATGTAGTTAGTGAATTATGTGCTAACTGTCTTAGAAGTAACATTAGCTTACTACTAGAGGTGCTAAGCTAATGTTAGCACTAATGCAGCAAGTTAATGATATGCTAAGTGCCTTCTAAATATGATTAGCGTACTACTGTAGGTTTTAAGCTAATATAATTACTTATGTATTTAGTTAACAACATGCTAACTGCCTTAGAATTAACATTAGCTTACTACTAGAGGTGCTAAGCTAATGTTAGCACTAATGTAGCAAGTTCATGATATGCTAAGTGCCTTCTAAATATGATTAGTGTATGACAATAGGTTTTAAGCTAACCTAATTATTTATGTATTTCGTTAGCGACATGCTAACTGCCTTAGAAGTAACATTAGCTTACTACTAGAGGTGCTAAGCTAATGTTAGCACTAATGTAGCAAGTTAATGATATGCTAAGTGCCTTCTAAATATGATTAGCGTATGACAATAGGTTTTAAGCTAACATAATTACTTATGTATTTCGTTAACGACATGCTAACTGCCTTAGAAGTAACATTAGCCTGCTATTAGAGGACATAAGCTAATGTACCGTTGGGCAGCTGTAATTGTAATTTGAGAAAATTAAGAAAAAAACTTTTCTCATTATCTTTTCCTTGAGCTTTTGTATTTTTGCTTTTAGAAACCAGTATAAAAATAGCCTGTCACGAGTATTCCATTCAAGATCTTTTATAAAGTACAAAAGCTTAAGCATAAAAATATGATCTAGATCTCAGTAGAAAACTGTATGCTATATTTATCTATTATATTATTGTTGTGTTCATTTTATTATTATTTTGATTATTTTATATGCTGGTGGGCTGCTTGTGCAGTTTCAACCCAGCATCAGTGAAAGTCATTTATTTACCTGTACGATTTATTTGTAGCATTTTTTTGAATTTGCAAAATAAATTCTGATAAATCTACCGGAGAAAAACATCATATATATTACTCAGATGCTTTCCACCACTTTTACTAAGTCTCACTGCAACCACATTGCATCAACATACCTGCCGCACCTAGCAACAGTTGCTGAGCTACGATTGGATGATTTCCATTTAGGGGCGGGGCTCAGCCAACACCTTTGCATTTGCGATCTAACGGAGCATCTCTTTGTCTCCCCTCCAGCTCCAGAGCCTCACCCTGAGGCCTCCTCCCCCCGGGGCCCTCACCATCCCCCCGTCCCTCCGCCTGAAGCCCCCCACCTCGACCCCGCCTCCCCTCTCCCGCCCCCACGCCCCCCTGTTCCCCCCCCTCAGGCCGCGACCGCAGCCCAGCGCCACGGCAACGGAGAGCCCGGCCACGCCTAGCCGCCACCTGTCCGTCCCGCCTCCAAGTAGGTCCTCACCTGGGTGTCATGGTAGCTAACCTGTTAAGGTACAGACAAGGGAGGGTGTACGGTTGGCATTTATCATCGTCTAAAAATAAAAAAATAAGACAAAAAACTGCATTTATATAAACCTACAGATTCATCGTCAGTAATTTTAATGACTAAGAATGCTGTGTTTGCAATTTAACTAAAAAGGTCTCTTTACTTTTACTGTCTTCCTCTTGATAAATGTTTGATTTTAGCTTCTTTTTAGAAGAATATAAACTGTAACTCAAAATATACTTGATCATCGATAGTAATAGTACTGACAGTAGCAACAGTGGTAAATATTACAACATATACATATATACATAAAAAATAGGATGAAAAACTGTATTTATATGAACCTACAGATTCATCATTAGCAGTTTAATTACCAATGATGCTGTGTTTGCAATTTAACAAAAGAAACTTTAATTTTTAGGTAACTTGAGGTTGATTAGAAAGATGGTTCACCATGCTGGATGTGTCTTCCAACAACTTGCACCCTTAGTTTGAGAACCACTGGTTTAGCAGAGTCCTGATTGCATGAATACTGCATGCGGCTACTTTCTGAGCTGCAGTACGTAGTGAAGGTGAAAGGTTTGGGTTTGGTTCTGAGTTCCTTCCCTCTCCTCCCTCAGCTCTCTACTCTCCGGTCCGAGCCGTCCCTCTGAGGCCCAGACTTCATTCTCCAAACGGCCACCGGGCGGCGTCGCCTCGACAGACCTCCAACCTCCAGCCGATCGCCGCCGCTCCGTCCAGCCAGGCCTCCTCCATCGGCCGGCCGCTGGCTGGTTTAAAGAGCTGCCCGTTGACTCAGACTGTGCTCGGTTCCGGCCAATCGCAGCACAGCGCCCTATCCGTCGCAAACCCCTTGTCGGCGGTGTCGCACTTTGAGCGCTCGCCGTCTGCGGCGCGGCAGCTTCAGATCATCGCCCTCTCCTCGGGGCGGCAGCCGCAGGCGGGAACGTTCGCCCACGCTGCTGCCGCGGCGGCAGTGGTGGAGTCGCCGGAGCTTTCCAGCCAATCGAAGAGGCCGCTGAGCGCCGAAGACGTGCTTCCTCTTCCTCCGAACCCCTCGTTGCCAAAAACCAGCTCACCTCCGTCCCTCCTGAGTCCGGCCTCGCCACCGAGTCAAGCCGGACCTCAAACACAGACTCTGACCCCAAAAGGAGACGCGAAGGAGAGCGAAGAGCAGCGAGAGAGAAGCCGAGGAGGGAGGCCAGGAGTCCGAGACGACAAAGATCCGAGGCTGGAGAAAGACGACCAAAGAGTGAAGGAGGAGAAACCGGCCGAGGACGAAATCAGTCCGAAGGACGTCGAAACAGGCGGAGAGGAAGACCAGATGGAGGTGACGGAGGAAGGCCAAAGCAACCGAGAGGAAGGAGAGGAGAAGATGGAGGTGGAAAAGGAAGGAGAGACTCCGATGGACCAGTCTGAGACCCAGACCGACCCGCTTCTCCATCAGCACCAGAACACGGATCCCAACCCAACGCCGGATACTGTTAAAGACTCCAACGTGGAATCAAAACCCATCCTGGGTCTCATTTCTGCTGCGGTTCCAGTCCAAACTCCAGCTCCAGCCCCAGTCCCAGTCCTACCAGTCCTACCAGTCCCACCAGTACCAGTCCAATCAGCCCCACCACTACCAGTCCAGTCAGCCCCACCAGTACCGGTCCCATCAGCCCCAGTCCCACCAGTACAAGTACCAGTCCCAACAGCACCAGTCCCACCAGTACAAGTCCCAGTCCCAACAGCACCAGTCCCACCATCCCCACCAGTCCCAGTACCAGAGGTCCCAGTCCAGAGTCAGAGGCTGCCAGAACCTCATCGAGACCTGCAGCCCGTCAGCCAGGAGGACTTCTGCGAGAACATGTCGACTCAGTCCGACAATCAGTCAGGTAGCCGCAGCCACATTTATGTCTGTTTGTTTGTGGTTCCAGAACCTTCCGACGACCCGTTTTAACACGTTCAGTTCTGCACGTCGTCATTCTTCCAGAACCAGCAGCCTTTTGTCTCGCTGCAGATAGCTAACGTTCGTCTTCAGATATGGGCTGCAAGGTGGTTCAGTGGTTAGCATCGTTGCCTCGCAGCTAGAAGGTCGCTGGTTCGCGTCCCGGTGGGGGCACCGTGGAGTCTCCATGTTCTCCCCGTGCAGCGTGGGTTCTCTCCGGGTTCTCCAGCTTCCTCCCACAGTCCAGAAACATGCTGAGGTTAATTGGTGATTGTAAATTGTCCGTAGGTGTGAATGTGAGTGTGCTTGGTTGTCTGTCTCTAAGTGTAGCCCTGTGACTTTGGATGGACAGTTTCACACACTTCCAACCCACTCAATAAAGCAGCCTTATTACTATTAGTTGTCTTTTAAAATGT